ACTCTAAACTGCAATGGGGCCCACACATTGACGGATTGTCGAATAGACTCAGCTCTGCAGCATACGCGGTTTACAAAATTCGTCAATTAACCGATGTAGAAACAGCTAGACTGGTGTATTTTAGCTATTTTCATAGTGTAATGTCATACGGTATTTTGTTGTGGGGAAATGCTGCTGACATTCAAAGTATCTTTGTGTTGCAAAAGAGAGCTATTCGTGCAATTTATAATCTCAGTTATAGGCAGTCACTAAGGGATAAGTTTAAAGAAATTGGTATCATGACAGTCGCATCTCAATATATATATGAAAATTTAGTGTATGTAAAGAAAAATAATCATTTATTCACAAAGTTTAGCGACATGCATAAAATAAACACTAGAAATAAAGATAAACTCGTGTTACCAACCACTAGGCTACAAAAAGTAAGCAAGTCTTTTCGTTGTCAGGGTGTGCGATTTTACAATAAAGTGCCAAGCAAATTCCATGAATTAAGTATTAATAAATTTAAGTCTTTAGTAAAGCTAAAACTATGTGAAAAGGCTTACTACACTATTACAGATTATTTAGACGACAAATTTGCTTGGGATTGATGCTGCTCACTCCCACATTTACGTAGACATCTTTGTTGTTAAGTTTGAAAGTGATGGACATTTAATTATTATTTTTTTGGTGTATTTCGTATTTTGTTTTGTATTTTATTTTTCGTTGACTTTGAACTGTATAGTATTTATTTTTTATTTTTGTGTAAGTATGTAAATGTGAGTACAGTGTAGGCTTGTAATGTTAATTCATATTTTATTATCTTTCTGGTGGTTTTGAGTGTTTCCACGGCCTACCCAAATGTCCTGCTGGCGGTAGTGTCATGCTTCGGGTCGTTGATCTTGACCAATATCGGTTAGGCTACACGATGGCTGGAGCCTGTATGCCGTCTGTATGGACAGGTTGACTCAAAACTATGGTCCTTTCCTCAAAAGGCCTATCCAGACCCTATACTGTACTCGCACAGTTTTATTTAACTTTGTTTACGGACTTAAAAAAAAAAGACACCTCTGTGGTTTGTTTCGGCGTTTCTTCCCAGAGTGAGTCTTAGGAAATGCCGGCTCCTTCTAGCTATAAAGTCCGACTTGTAAAAATATCTGAAAAGATTTACTTACAGAAATAAATATCATTTCATATCATTTCATCATCATCATCATTTCATTTCATTTCATCATTTCATTTCATTTCATTTCATTTCATCTAGGCAAACAAGCAATATTTCAGTTGCAAATAATTTCAATAGTACGATTGTGCCATTATGAATAAAGACGATGTTTTTGTAAAGATGTTTTTCTTTTACTGGAAATACTTTTTAATAAATTGATGGAAATGTTTTCATCACTGATATTTTCAACAAAATTTCTGTCGGTTCTGCTATAAATAACTTAACAGTTCAATGTCCAGGGTTATTGTTTCAAATGTTTACAATTTTTTTTCTCTAACTTTACTAAGATAATTGGGAGAGGTAGGCGTCCGCACGTATATTCGCTTCACAGGTCTGATACCACAGCCTCTCAGAAAACCATGTTTAAGCAATACCCTCGTTGGTTTTCGCCGAATGAGAGTCGTTAATCTCCTCTCTCTCTTTTCCCTTCAATCTGAGGGATGGGAATTAAAGGGCAGCAACTCCTGACTTGTGTCTCTTGAGTCGGTGTCCACAGACGGCGGTAGTCACTTACCATCAGGTGAGCCGTCTGCTTGTTTGCCCCTCCCCCCTTTTTTTTCGCAATTCCCCTCGGATACCACCTACCGGTGGTTATGTCGCACTCGAACTGACCAAAAGCCACACCCCGTCTCGGGTACCAGTAGCCAAGGAACCAATTGTACCCTCGAAAGGAAATCCCTGAACATAAAAGGTACACTGTGAATTGGGCACATTTTCTTCATTTGGATATTTAACATTTGATTGTAGCTTCTGGCTGTTGTTAGTAGGTATAGTTTTTCTTTTCTTTTTCTAAATGCAACGCCCGGTCTAGGAATAAATCCTGTGTTGCGGGGAACTTCACAGAAATACATGAAACGGACGCAAAGAACGACCAGACCCAGAACAACAATTTGTACGACGGACGGGTGTCTGGCCAGCGTGGTATAGTAGGCCAAAACCTCCTTTCTAAAGCGAGGCCTATGTCTAGCAGAGAACTTTTAGAGGCTGTTGATGATGATGATAAACTTATTATCTAGTACTCTTCTTTAAGCACCTCTTCCGAGGGGTTGGCCCTTGAAATTCACTCTTTATTACTTCTATCAATTTGTCAAGGAAGGTTTGTTACATCCCTGTAACGCGAAGTGTCCTTCGAAGAATCTTTGTTATCAACACAAAAAATCGGCGCAAGACCTTTTATTGTGCGATACAGAATCAATAATTAGTATGTAGTTCAATTTGTCTATATCAGATGGCGCTGAGATACAATTTTGTTGTATTTTTGGTAACTTCACACATCTTACACAAGCATTCTGATCTCAAATTAGGCAGAGCCTGTGATATGGTAATGATCGTGCTTATGAGACAATTATTTGTTCTGGGTGAGGGTCTTAGGGTCACTATAGACTAGCTAGGCCAGTCAACATATAAATGCTGTTATACCTCTATGTGGAGCAATGTCAGGTAGCTCCTATCTTTTGTGACCTCATTCTCTTTAGTGAGTCATTGTTATCAGTAGTTCTCTGTTCTTCGTAACTGTCCAAGGTTATTTACTGTCTGTTTGCTGAGGTTTTTCTTATCAATTGTTGGATTATTCCAAATACTCTTTTATAGTCCAAATAGTCTTTCTTCCCACTGTGTTTGGATAAGTTTCCCCATAAGTCATGGGGAAACTTGACGTGGTTGTGGTTATTTGTTCCCGAATCTCATGGTTCTTTCTTGTCGTTCTCTTTAGCAGGCTTTGCACGTGCCACTATCTTTATTTTGTTGGACAATCGTCTAGGTTATCTACATCTAGGTTTTCTCCAAACTCCTTAAATCACATAGTCCGGGTCCTCCCCACAATAGGGCCCCCTAGAGCGGCTGCTGGGGTGTTTTTTTACTCCAAATACACCAACAGGAGCCCTCGTAGCTTCTGTATCCCCAAGGAGCCGGTGATCCGAAGGGATTTTCCACCCCGTCACCCAAAAATAGTCTTCAACTTTGCTAACCCTTCTCCTATGACATATTTGACTAAGTTAACTAAGTATGCGTTCTTAGCAAGTTATAGAAGCCCTTAAGGCCAATTCTCGTTATAAAACTTCGGTCTCAATTCGGTTCCGATCTACTGTAATTTTTCAGGGTTCTTAATGATGCTGTTTTAAGAACTAAGTTTTAAGTTTCATCAACATAAGCCTCACCTTAAAAAGGAGGTTTTGGTCTACTATACCACGCTGGCTAGACGGGTTGGTGTAGGGTTTGAGTCAAGTTTTCCTTCTCTCTGCAGTGCTGTTGTTCTGCGTAGTTAGATGAATAGGGGTGGTAACACTGTATTCTTAATCCGTCGCCACACGGACGCCAAGTTCTAAGTTTATCAGACTTATAATATTATTTTTTTAATACACTGTCTCATTTCTTTCTTTGGTTGAACTGTACTTCATTTATTTATTTAATTTTAAATGATTAAAAAGGTAAAACGTTTTTATTTTAAATACTGTTTAGCTTGATGTTCCAATTTTAAGTTGTTTTTTTTATGTACATAGTTCCTTCCGTTTATCAGTTGAGGTTATTCAGTTTTAAAATGCTGTCGTTCAGAATTCCTGCTAACAATTACTTTGCTACTTGTGCGTTTAAACATTTACATGGCTTTTAAATGTTTACCTAAAATTTTTGAGCTACGTGTTTAGTATACCTTGAATTTGAATTACTTACACCCAATTTATTTGCGAAATATCTAATCTCCCGTCTATTCTACGATCAAAACCATGCCCACTACACGATAGCCAATCGCAACTAAGCTATAAAGAGACAGAGGGAACTATTGGACATCCATCTCTCTGTTGCTTATATCACTTCCACTCACAGGCAGCTGTATCCCGTGTTCACTCTATGCATAGAGATGCATATTTTTTTATTTATTTCGGTTTTTTAAAAATACTTATGAATTAAAGTATTGCTTGTGGTGATTTGTTAAGCAACAAAACAAGTTTTGAAGCAGAATACCTTTTTTTAGTCAAATCATAATTCAGTCTCGATAAAATCACATTTCATGGGCGGCGATAGTCACTTTCCAACAGGTGACCCGTCTGCTCGTCATTTTGCCAACTGGATAAACTTTTTTCTTACCAACAAATCTGCCCATGAAATTACCTATTTACATTCTATTTGTCCATCCAAAGGTTGCCTGTAAGAGATTGCTTTTTAGCGATAAGGCCGCCATTTGTACATGGTCATTAACTTGGAATACTATTGTATGTATAATATCCTGAATTGGTGTACTATAAAGATTATTCTTAGTCCTTAATTTAATCGTGATGATTTAAATTGTCAACTACCCTCACAGTTCGTTATATCGATGAAGGATGTGATAGATTACATTAACGTAGAGCCATGCTACAACATATAAAGGCCAACTCGACCGGAGAGTCGTAACCGGTGTTAAACTATTTTTTCGTTGCTTTCTGCTGAGTCAGTGAGGCAACGCTCTATTGTCTCTCAAGTTGCAGGTGTTACTTACCATCAGGTGATCCGTTTGCTCCTTACCCTCTGTACTAAAAAGAAAAGACAGATGTATACCTAAAATCAAATCAGAACCTACTACGTTTCTTACAACGATTCAGACAGTATGATTCTACTATATTATATTCTCTTTGTTACAGAAACAAAACAAACCATTATTATAAAAAGGAAATCAAATAGAAAGATGCAAAGAAAACGTCCGCCGTCCAGGATTAAAATTAGTTTAGCCTAAGATATTTGTATCCTGACATCTGTAGCATAAGCCAGACGTATCATAAGGATATGTGTTATAGAGTATAGAACTACAGGATACATAGTAAAAATGCCCGTGGTATCACCCTCTAGGTACAGCTCCACTTCCTCAACCCTGTCAGGGTCATACAGATCTTCGACTACCGTGGAGAAACCATATTACAGGTCGAGTAGCGGAAATTATGACACAATACGAAGCTATGAGAAGTCTGAGTACCGCTCCAGATACTCAGATATCGATGGAAATAGGGAACGGAAGAGCTCCCTGGCGGAACGTTCTAGAACGTCTAGAGCGCCGAGCATTGCAGAATCTGATAGCGGAATCTCCAGCAGATACAGGTCTGAGAGATCAGAGTCCAGGTCTAGAGATATCTCTACGACCAGAAGCGAGAGCAGCAAGACTGCCAGTGATCCTTTACCGAGAAGCCGGAGGAGTGTCATTACATCAGCTGACCTGGCCATGTCAGCTGCGGAGTTATACAATAAATACTCTCCCGCGAATTATATACCCTTGACACAGAGGAAACAGCAACTGCAGAATCAAAATTATGGAGATATATCCAGGTCAAAGTCTATCTCCAATGATATTGGGAGACCACCGGTCGCTGACTCAGCCAGATTGGCGAGAAAGGCCAGAAACACAGCCGCTACGATATCTGAGGTAAATAATTTTAGCCAAATCTTTGCAGGGAGCTTGCACACTAAATGTCCATGATCTAAATTGGTCATCGGACTGAGAATAACTATAAGGTCGGATTACCAGTTCTGGTCATGGGGTTAGTGTAAGAACCCCCTAAATGTTATTATTTTTGCGTGTCTGCGAAATATGGTACTTGTGACTGTTTAAAGAAATATTTATAGCTTTGCACCACATTGATACGTATTTTCATACATTTACAAGTATTGCATAGTAGATGTAGCTAAAAAAATAAAAAATGTAAGTATCTCATAAAAAAATTCGCGACTGACAGACTGATATCTGTGACCACGATCGACCCATCTACTCGAAATGTCGGCAAACTAAAAAGGTGTATGTACCCTCACAGGTAACATAAAAACATCGGTGCCCCTATAAAATATTTGGAACCACCCATCATGTTAATTAAACAAAATTACGCCGGCGTCGGGATGTAAAACATCGAAATTATTTTTTGCATAAAAGGATAATATCTTATGAAGGGAAATTAAAAATTTAACAATATAAAAAATAAAAACACTATCACATAGCGTGGCGACCCGTGGCGACGCGTCGCAACGCCAACAGACGGTTCGACCGGCATTAAATGTTTCAAGTCAAAATAAACACGTCCCCTTTCAATAAAAATTACTCAATCAAAACTCTAACTAAATAAATTCTACTTACAATAAAAAACGCAAATTATAAAAATTACACAATACAAAGTTATACAATCATTACACTACACAAACGCGCGTTATTTAAACAATCTGTAGTGTGGAAGAGCGACACTTGCATCATATGCGATACAGCTATTTTCAATATCTATTTAAAATAATATCCCAATGTAAGAAAACTCTGGCAAAAACCAGTCCATGTCGTGTTTTTATGTTAGAAGGGGCAGACGAGCAGACGGTCACATGATAGAAAGTGACCACCGCCGCCCATTAACGTCTGCAACTCAGGAGTCACAAACGCGTTACCGGCCTTTTAGGAAGGAGTACGCTCTTTTCTTGAAGGTTTGAAGGTCGTATTGTTCCGGAAATACCGCAGTCGATAACCCGTTCCACAGATTGGTTGTGCGGGGTAAAAAGTATCTTAAAGAGCGCACAGTAGTCGAACGCTAAATATCCAGGTGGTGAGGATGAAAATTTTTACCGTCTGGAACGATGGCGCAAAATTCCGGCTGGTATTAGTCCGAACAATTCCTCGTGTTACGGGTATGCATCTCTGAAGCTACCCCATTCTCCTCCACCGCCAAGCCTTTTTTCCCAAACTAGCTTGAGGTCGGTTGTCTCAAACTAACTTGGATTTTTTACGTGGAGCGACTGCCATCAGACCTCCACAACCCAAGTACTAGGCGATGTCGAAGTTCTGTAGACAGACTGTTCGTATGGCAACTGGGATTGACTGCTTAACATGCTCTCCGAGATACGGCAGGGTCTCAATGTATTAAGAATGGTCACTCATCCATAGACTGACCTAGCCAGGCATGGCATCAGGAATGCCTCAGACCGTAAAGTAATTTGCCCAAAACCTATTGCAATGTTAACATAACGCCGGGATTCGAACCAAACTTGAGTCTGAAATCGAAACTTCCGTAACGAAAGTTACAGATTGGAGTGGACTTAGTCTACTCCATTTTGACCCCACGAAGACACAGAAAACTCGGTTTGAAAGCAACTCCCTAACTGGCAAAGCCAGCATCGGAATCATTGGCGTAGGCACATGGAGCGAAGTCTAGTTTCGCTGTCACTTAGAGAGTAAGTCCAAATTATCTTAGAAGAAGCTTGGTCTGTAGAACAGATAAGGCAAGCTTGGCCACATATGGAATTCTGTTCTCTGAGCAGAGGTAAGCCAGTACCAGATTCTCCTTGTGGACAGTATTCAACTAAGAGTGACTCAAATCGTCAATTGCCAGAATATTTTCGATCGGCTTGACCCCTTGGCTGAAGACATGTAGCTTCATTCTACGTTATCTATCGATTGTATTACGGGGAGTGCTCCCAGGAATTGCTCGGATTTATACCGTGTTTTTAGCCCAAAATCGATCTAAGTGGCGTGCCTAGCGATGGACTTCGATAGGCTGGTGATGATGATACCCTCCTCAGCTTTCTGCCATCAACATTTAAAACGGTGTTATCGTTCTGCGCCTTACAAGAAACTTTATTGCCTCGCACAACCATATATTATTTTTGTACCGATACGACCCCTGAACCTTCAAGAAAAGATCGTGCTTGTAACTTGAGTTCCAGTTGTTCATAGGCGGCAAAAATCATAATCCCATACCATCATGTAACCCATTAGCTCTTGCCAACAATATACCCTAGGAAGCAAGTCCCCGAAACCCCCGTGCAGACCTCATTAACAGTAGTCATAAAACCAGCTAGGGAAGAAAGTTTTATCAGACGCCATCCTAATGGTATACCTTCTGCCCCTCTTCCTAAAAAAAAAGTAATTCACGCTCTCCCATCCTACAGATTATTAATGTTTGTGTGGTTTATCTGTCACATAACAAAGTGACAGCGTTTTTTTGATCTAAAACGTGTTCTCGTTACTAATTGGCTGGATTTTCTATATTTTTATAATATCTTAAATAACAAACGATTCCACAAACGGAAATATATCAACTATGTAAGTATAGTTTTGTAGTTTGCTACACCAACCAACCGTTTTTGATACTATTCTTCGTATTTATAATTCGTATGTAACATACACAAGTTTGATTCTTCGATTATTCGTAAATAATGTTGATTTTGTTTTTTCGTTTTATCTCTGCGACTTTGACAATTCATTCATCACTTGATCATTATTACCATAATCATTTATAATACCACAGAAAAACACCAATGGATCTGGTTACTTTATACAAACAAATTTCGCAGGCACACAAGAATGTGTGCGCGTGTGAGTGTGTGTACGTTCACTAACATCGCACTAAAAAAGAGCCATACATCAAATCAGCTTTCATATATCGTAGTCACATTTTTTGAAAGCCCACGCTCATCTCGAGGACAATTTTTCCAAAAAAAAAAACCTTTCAACAAATGTGAAAGCAAATTAGTAACATAGACGCGGAATTGCTTGTAATACCATACTATAGTCCATTGTATCATTATGATACATGAAGCTAATCATTAAATAAATCTGCTATGAGTAGCATACTGTATCATAAAAGCTACAAAGGTATTACGGCAAAGCATGATATTACTGTTGAACTAACACACACTTATCACATGTCGCATTTTACTTCACAAATTTAAAAAAAAACAGTAAGAGTACTATTTAAACACCAGAGACCGGAACGAAGATCTTACAAGGAAAGCTCGCCGGGCTACAAACGCGGGATGGCGAACGGTGTTAAAGATACAAATGGGAATGAAGTGCCCACCGTGTCCGAAATACGAAAGAGATTCGATCAAAAAATGACAGTTACGAAACTACCCGCAAATGATACACGATATTCAAAAACATCAGTTGAACATTACCTAAATCAACTTAAAGATTGCGAAAACGGTACCGTAGGCTACACGAAGCTAGTGCCAAAAGACGAAAAGATAGTACCTGTTCATATGCCTCATGAAAAAAACGGTATTAGATGGGAGATAGGTTCAACGAGTTCACGATCAAATTCGAACTCTGATGTGTCATTAAGTAAAACTATATCTGAACCCGTGTGTTTAGCGAAGCCTTCACACGATAAAACTAATGTTATGTCCACATCTCTAACTACTAAGTTGCCCTCTGAACGTTTAGCCAGCATCAAAAGTCAATTAGATCCAAACAATCCTATAGGAAAGATTCTAGAAAAGTCGACCGTTATTCATGTTGAAAATGGTGATAGCGATTTTAAAAAGCATGATGGACACAAGCTAAAAGAGCTGAAAAATGATATAGAAAAACAAGTAAAAGCTCCAAAACATACATCAAATTTCGCTTCCTATATACAGATATCTCAACCGGTATCGTCAGGAGCCACGCCTAAAAAACAGATAGAAGTAAACAATGTCATAAATGAGGAACCTTCTAAAAGTGATATCAAAACAGAGCAAAGAAGGTCTAGAGTAAATCTCAAGTACATCGATTCAGAAGACGACAGATTAATTTTAGATAACGACATTGAATCCCCAAGCGGCACAGGATTTGAGAATAAGACGTTTGAACATGAGAATTATTTGAAGAAGAGAACGGAGAAGTGTGAAGACGATGAAAGGAGAGAAGATGAAGCTAAATCGATGGAGACAAGTACGGAGAGTACTCTGAGCGAGCTGACTGAAGACTTAAGTCCTGATACTCCATCTTCTAGAAGGAAAACTTTGGACAGGGATTTCGAAGATATTAAAGGGGTAAGTACTCATTTTGTTTTTAAACACGTGGCTGCTTCGAAGTCAAAATCTAATTAACAACATTGGTAATTGAATATATTGATTTTTTCACGTATTTTACTGATTTAGAAAGAGAGGTGAATAATCTTAGAGTTGAATTAAATTACAAAAAAATCTACCTAGATGGCGCCCTCGTAGCAGTTATAGACAAGTTTTTTTTTACCATAGCTTAATATTTATAAAAACAGAAGTAGGTAATAGATACAGGACGTCCAATTTGAGCAATATTTGCAGTTTTAAAAGCATTTTAATGAGTATGTACACTTTTTTTTAATTGAGAAGGTAAAAACAAACATACTATGTCGATAAATCACTATAAACTAATTTGAAACCTCGACTTCAAGCCCAGAAACCTGGACAAAAAGAACATACAATTTCTTTGCCGACATAAAATCACAATTTTTCGCTCCTTAAATTCTGGTAACACTTGATTAGTAAAAAAATAATTTGAATGCGTGACAATTAAAGTGTACTACAACAACATGGTAGGCCAAAACCTCCTTTCTAAGGAGAGGCCTATGTCCAGCAGTGGACTAGTATAGGCTGTTGATGATGATGATGATGACAGCAACATGGCAATAAGATAAAATGTGACGATGACCTTTTTTGACATGTTGATCTGAGACAAAGTGGAAAATTATTCCTGTGACGTCATCTCATTTTAAAACCGTCTATAAAACCGTTAAAATAGTAACTACCATGTCTGATTCATAAGTCATGTATGCCAACAAATTTGGGAAAGTTTCCAGGTATAATATTCTTTTTGGGCATTTATATACCTGTTCGGTACTTCAGTGTTGCCAACTTGGATATATTCTCCCAGTTTCAGGGAAACTTAATACAGGATTGTTAGATGTGGTAAAGTGTTTATAATTTTTCTGAAAATATTTTAAATTTAGAAAAAGCGATATGTTTCTTAATTTTAAACCGAAATACATACAACTGGTGTTATTGCAGGATACTTTAGGAACTTTCTAAAAAATAAAAAAAACGTTACAGTATTTTCAAAATTGGAACGTTTTCATGTAAACAAAACTTTCTTCCTTATGATATTAAGCTTTATTAGAATAAAGTAAAATTCAGATGTATTAAAGATATATATAGTTTGATGCTTGTGTTTATTTCGGGGGTGCTGTCTTGTTTCGAACCCAACAGGGGTCCCTATTCACGACGTTAAGCGTCACACTTGACATCGAAGCAGCCACAGTTCCAGCACCTCATATTTCTTGGCTCTTTTACAAGCACGTTTTTATTATTATTTTTATTAATATCTATATATTGTTGAATTTTTTGTACCTAGATTTAAAAGGTGGTTTCGTCTTCACTGTTGGTTTAATATTATGTGTAATTTCATCGTTATTCAGCACTGAGTTAGTGAGGTTACCGGAGCTCAAACCTACCCTACTTTTTGGAGGAGGGAGTCGATGGGTAGTAGGAATGGAATAAAATCACAATCACCTTTGATAAACCTTTGTACAATTTTTTTTGTGCATAAAGTATTAAAAATAAATAAATAAATCATAGGGCCATATAATCACATCTGTAACTAATTTACAAAACAACTGCGATTTTATTTTTATTATAACGCTGGTCCGTGTGGTGACGGATTAAGAATACAAATTGTCACCACCCCAATTCATCCCGTGGGTGTCGTAAGAGCCGACTAAGAGAGCAAACTAAGCAGGACAACAGCACTGCAAAGAGAAGGAAAACTTGAAACAAACCCTATACCAACCCGTCTGGCCAGCGTAGTATAGTAGGCCAAAACCTCCTTTCTAAGGAGAGGCCTATGTCCTGCATTGGACTATTACAGGCTGTTAATTGATGATGATGATGATAGCGCCAGACTAGCGAAAGCTCAGAGTGAAAGAAAAAGGTCGTAATCTTTGATGAAAAGAATTATGATTGATTTTGAAGGCATTTATCTTTGTCTAGACTAAAGCCAATCATTTCATCATATGATTACGAGTTAAAAATATAAATAATTGCTAAGATTAGTGATTTTTGAGTATAGGTGCCCATCGCCGGTGGTGGTACTTATTATCAGGTGGACCATAAAGTGCAATAACATAAGTCCTTTTAAATAAAAGTTGAACCGACTTCAAACAACAATAAGTACCTAGCAGCAATCGCGGTTCATTTGCTGGCATTTTTTGAGGAGTTCCGTTGTCTGTCTCCGAAACTCATCATCAGGTCTATTTGAAATTTAAATGGGACCATATCGAAATAAACCCCTTTCGAACAAAAGAGAATCTGAAAATCCGCCTATATGTATGACGGAGTTATGCATAAAAAATCCGAATCCGAATTGATAACCTCTTCCTTTTTGAAGTCGGTTTAACATAATGTGGTTGAATAAAAAATTACCAATTATCTGTACCAAACTACAAAGTGGATTGATACTGCTTACAAAGCACATATCGTATACCCCTCCTAATTGGTGGGGGGAGGAGGCACTCGAAGGGCGACAACGCACTTATGGCTCTTCAGTCGAGATGTCTATAGGCGTCGGTCCTCACTTACCATCAGGTGACCGTTCTGCTGGTTCGTCCCCTATTCTATTTAAAACATAACTTTTCAACTTTTTAATTTTAATTCGCTTCTACTGAACTCGTAATTCATAATTATGCTATGCGTATAAAAATACGAATAATATATTTAAACACATGATTTTAAAATCGAGTCTTTTACAGCAATACCGAAAAAAATCATTTAAAAAACAAACAAATACTCTAATTCCTTAATTTCGCTCTCAGTTTCAGCAGTTCATTGGCATTTGTAACGAGGTCATGTATTTGTGTGCGTGCACACTAATGAGTGTTGTGTGTCGTCCCGGCTGTACGTATGTGTGTATATATTATAGAATTTATCAACTCGCTTCTTGAATCTCTTAGGCCGTTTCTGTTACATTTTCATCGTCAGCCCATCGCAGGCCACAGCTGCAGAGCTATTCTCTGAGGAAACAGCCTTGCATACAGCGCTGTTTATTTTTACGTGTGGAGACCCCTTCGGGCCGTCTCCCCACCGGGATTTGCGGCGGAGTGGTGTGTCGGAATCGGACCGACTAAAACCACACGGTGTGCCACTCTGCGCCTGTGGTAGGAGTAATCCGGGAACCGCTATTATTAAGACATCCGGACCCCTCCTAGCGCCTGCCCCCAAAGGCGCGGGCACCATCTTCGGGTACATTCTCCATTTAGGTTTTTTTTTATTTTAGAGGGGGCAGACGAGCAGACAGCTCACCTGATGGAAAGTGATAGTCACTTTCCGTCAGGTGAGCTGTCTGACCTGGTTTCTTGAAGGTCGTATAGGTCCTGAAATATCCCAGACGGTTACCCGTTTCACAGATTGGTTGTGCGGGGCAAAAGGTGTCTCGAAAGGGGACAGTAGTGGAGCGCTAACTATCCAGTTGATGGTGATGAAAATTTTGCCGTGTGGAACGATGGCGGAAAGTTGTAGCTTTAAATACCAGCCGAGGAATGTGCACACTCTCCATGACATATGCCATAGAGAATGCAGAGGGAAGCCACATCTCTACGTAACGCCAAGGGATCGAGCCGGTCGGAGATGTTTGGGCTATCGACGATTCGAGTCGCTCTTCGTTGGATGCGGTCGTGAGGGAGAAGCCGGTACTGAGGTCCGCTGCATAGAGATGAGCACAGTATTCCGTATGCAGCCGGACTTGCGCCTTATAGAGCTGAAAGTGGTTGGCCGGAGTGAAATACTGCCTCGATCTGTTCAGCACACCGAGCTTCTTCGAGGCCAATTTAACCTTACCCTCTAAGTGACCCCGAAACTGGACTTCGCTCGATATGTCGATGCCTAGGATTCCTTGAACCGAGGTAATACGACAAATGGTATCTCCTTTGCGGTGAACGCACAGACCTTTGTCTTTTTTGGGTTGAACTGGACTACATTTTGTCGGCCCCGATCTGAAACCTCCGCTAAAGAAGTTTTAATCGACTCTCGATGACGTTTTCCCGAGAAATATTGGGGCGGCGGGTGTAAAGGGTATATAGAGAATAGCACTGCTGGACACGGCCTGTCCAATGGCGTACGTTATGGTCCTTAGCAATTACCACGGCCTCCCAAAAAATCGTGTCAAATAATTATTTTATCACTTTTCGCCGAGTAAGTAAAGTTTCCATAACCCCCCCCTACCCTTGCCCTTCCCCCCCATCCCTTGCTCTTCCCCCAATCGCTTGCCCTCCCCCTCCCCCCCGCAACGCACTCGTAAGTTACAGGTGTCCATGGATAATTTTAACTCTCTTACTACACCGTGAAACACTGTTTTAAAGTCCTATTATTCTTTTTTTTCTGCTCGGAAATCCCCTCTGCCACATACCAGTGGGGTCATTATGTCGGACTCGAACCGACTAAAAAGCGCACGCCGTCTTATAGCCCTAAAGTAATTTTAAAACTGTAACCTATTTTATAATTTTCTGGGACATGACAGAGCCTCATCTATGTGATATTGATACATTTAGTCTAGAATATATCTTGGTTATTTATGTTCTCCATATATCTTGTATGGTGGGCTCTAGGCTACATGGTGTAAGGTTTTTTTTTGGTATTTATTAAATTGTTTTCGGTAAAATGTTCTGCCTACTCATTGTGATATCATTTTTCATCATTTTAAACCAGAAAAATGGAAAATTAAAAAAAGATGATGAATTTTCCGGCAGAAACTTCAATGTTTTTCGACTCAGAATCATGGTCTGAATACACCATTTCAGTATTCGATACGATGTCCCTTACACCTTGTTTAGTTAAATATACTTAGAAACATTTAACATAAACAAGCGAATAAAGAAAAGTTATTAATTTACATACCTGGTTGTAGCCTTAAAGTCCAAGTAAGGTTCGTGTCGTTCTTATCGCCGATAGAACACTTACCTTGGTAAATGTGTTACTACAATATCTAGTGACTACTGATAGAAAACTCACTTTTAGATCTCTCAGTTAAAATTTTGAAATACTACTAATTTTTAAATTTTAGAAATATGTAGTAAATTTAAAATAACGTAAACCTGACTTGTCAATATTAATATAAACACAGTTCATTCACTCTGTGAAAAATCAGCCCACATTTCCACCTGGGTCAGGCAGAGCCGATAGAACACCACTTGCCAGGGTCCTGACAGCCACAGCCTAAAAGTCACACTTCGCCCCTAATTTATATGACCTTCCATATACGTTCAGTTATGGATGCTCCTAAATCATTCTACTTCTAATAAGATTGTACAGATACGGTCTTGCAAGGCCTTCATTTAACAGGTCTTACATTTAAATATACCTATTGGGTCCCTTCGCTTCCTATTTTCCAATCGAAGATATTCCTCTATGGTAGGTTTCGGTTTTCTATAGATTTCGCACCGGCCCAAAGAGACATTATCTAGTGAACGACCGCCCGTCCCCTATTCAATAGAAATTCACATCTAAAAATATAACACCGCGAAATGTAACGTCTAGAATTAAAATAACGCGGGGAATCTCGACGGGCGACTGCCACGTATTTTTTTTCATTCGCCACGTGCTCAAAACGACGGCCATCTTGGCAAAAAGCGCGCTAAAATTTTGACCTCATTGTGCTTGTTTTAATACTTAAGAAACTCTATGGTTGATATTACTGGCCGTTTTAGAATTGTCATCGCGTTCCAAAACCTAAATGTCTGTCAAGTTTAACATATGTCAATTAAAGTTTTCGATATAATATTTTTTGCAAAACACTTTTTTCTAAATATATGTGATATTTTTTAAATGTTATGTGATTTCGTCGTTTGTTTTGGTAAGAGGAGCTGGTTGTGTTCATTTTTTTTTATAAATATTAGCTGGGAAAATGGCGGTCTTTATGTTAAAGTGATTATAGAATGAAAATAGACAGATATAGCTTCATGTGTGTACTATTTATATAAACAGAACGGTATTTTTTACCCCTATGATGGAAGGATGAATATTCGATGCTACTGAGTAGTAGTTCAATTACCGGGTCGATTTAATTGTAATGTATTTTCCAAAAATTGTGCGAAAACTAACTCTGAGATCGCAAGCTTTTTTTTAATATAATAAATCTAAGCTACGGATAACCAAGGGTGGTAGCATTAAATGAATAATGGTCGAACTTTGACCACTGGGCGACCACTAGTTAATTTAAACATACTGATGTCATGAACTTTTTAGTCAAATGTGTTTTTTTTTGTATTGAATATAGTATTAAAGATATAGGCTATTTAACATCACGCAACGGTCTTTAGGAGCGGAGCAGTAACCGGAAACGTAGTCGAAGTTGAAGTGTGCCACTTACAATCATAAAAAATCTAATTCACATCATTGCTAGTTTGTTAATGTTTGACACCATACGCCTAAAGTACGCTATGCTGATAAATTGAATCCTTATTTTAATGAGGTTATTATTATAATCATAGTTAGTCAATTAAAGTAAAACAATCTCTGAAATTCTAATTAGAGATTTCCCGGATTGTGAGTCACTATTTCAGGCATGTGGTACATATCATCAAAGAAATTGGCTTAAGCGGGTAGATCTCGTATGTTCTGGAGGATGGCAGGTTTGAACGCTAAGAGCCGACTAAGGGAGCAAACTAAGCAGGACAACAGCACTGCAAAGAGAAGGAAAACTTGAAACAAACCCTATACCAACCCGTCTGGCCAGCGTGGTATAGTAGGCCAAAACCTCCTTTCTAAGGAGAGGCATATGTCCAGCAGTGGACTAGTATAGGCTGTTGATGATGATGATGATGAAGTGTATAAGTATAGAAGAAAGTTCCGGGCAAGAGACAAAAGTTTCTGCCTCTCCCATAGGGAGAAAAGCGTTGTTTCAATCGGGCAAAAAGAGTTCTTAAAACTGTATTCTGCATACTGACAGAGTAATAAGGATTGGATAAATCGAGTTATGTATACAAGGATAGAGGCGAGTGACGGACAAAAGATAAGTCTCAGCCTACCCCAAAGGAAGAAATGAGTTTATGAATTCGCATTTCAATCTATGTGATCTATCGAATGGAATGAGGAAAAAATAGTTTTTATTTAACAACATGATGCATTACGGAAGAGTACTAAGGAAAAGTCTATCAAGGGAGTTCATAAAACACGGTGATGGGTGGTCACAAGACAAATGACGCCTGTACTCTTTTTGAGGATTACAGACAATTTATAAAATCACGTTTTGTTGCAATTCTAAACGTTACTCTATGCTAACCATTACGCAATACATGTCGTGCCGCGGCAGATAACATTCAGCTGATAATATTGGTATGATAATAATTCGTGTATGTTTAGTACAAAACCTTGTATGAGGACACGCGGTGTCCTCCAGATATCCTTATCGAAAATTTAGGTGTAAGATGTGTTACTGAATAAAAACTAGGATATACCGGACTCTTAAGTAGTGTTATTGAGGTAATATTTACTGTGACTACTACATAAACTCCTAAAACATCTAATTTATTAAAGAAATTTCGAGCGAGATAGAAACAGTTGTAATGAATTATCAAAACGCTGTCTTTAAAAAGTGTACTGTGAAAAGTATCAAGATTATACTGCCCTAGTTCTATAAAGTGTTCAAACTGATGTTAAATAATGGGGTTTTCTGAAATACAGACAATCAACGCACCGTCATCGTATTTGGTAAGCGCTTATGCCAAGGTTTCTCTGTGACCTTGAACTTGTCGGGATATTTCTGTTCTTCGACTTAAAGATGTCGTCATAGACTTGTTGTACTAATTTAATTGTCCAAAAAGCATGTGACTAGATATGGGATATCTTCTACTAATTTCCGAGGTCATTAAAAAAAGGACCAGCTAATTCAGGACTATAAAATTTTGGGTTACAATACGTGAATTTGAAGCTTTGTAGACGATGTTTTAAAACAGTGGTGTAAAAAACAGCGCGATGGCTAAAGCGACGGCGTTGGTTCTAATAAGAAATGTAATGTATAAGTGTGATCTGATGGCTGTGTTCCTGCTTGAGGTCATACTGGTATGTAAGCAATCTACGTAATATATAATATAAATTAACATACTTAATACTTAAATTCGTATTCGAAATCGTCACTCAAGGTTAAATTTGATTGGAGTTTGATCAAATCGAATTCACATCCAAAGTCCTCCGTATGGAAGGTATAATGACCGTGGAGACAGCTCGTGAGGTGTGTAGTACAAGCGAGGAGTAAATTATTGTCTCTGCTTACCCCGAAAGGAGAAAAGCGTGAGTTGATGTATGTATACAAATACTTTATCCGATAAATCTAACTTAGGGCAGTTCTTTTTCGAAATGGTGTCCATCTTCCGACCGTTATTTATTTATTTATAACTTTTTGCACAAGTACATGCATCGGCGGACTTAATGGCCTAAGGCATTCTCTGCCAGTCGACCGATTATGTTATGTAGTCAGATATTATTTGTTTTAGAGTTAACTCTGTTCTTGACTAATACCAATCTGGTATAGATCAACATTTTAAGTAATTATTACATTAAACGACTCCAAGGACAGTAACGCACCTTTGACTTTTGAGTTGCAGGTGTCGATCAACGGCGGTAGTTGCTTACCATCAGGTGACTCGTCAGCTCATATGCCCCCTTATACCATAAAAAAAAACCATACATATAAACATTTTTGTATACAGCAGTTACACAACTTCGGCATGTAATGATGCAAATTAGGCAGACCGTTAACACAAAGCCCTCTCTTAACGTATAAATATCAAAATTGATTATTACAATTAAGTCAGTGATGGAGAATATGGAGAATAATAGACAATAGACGTATATTTTTCGTTTTTACTACCTAATTAAATTAAACAGGTTGAAAACAATGTAATATATCGTTCTAAAATATGAACAATGAACTAAAACCACTAAATTTTAGTAAATGTATCAGTATGTGATCGGTAACTCCATAGATTTAAAGCCATAGTTACACTTGCCCTTTTAATACAGTCACTCACACTATCAGAGCACATGGGCCAATGTATAATATATATTTATTATCTACTCGTTACGTAGTTTTGATTGTGAAATTTGGCATCAGTTATTGGCTTAAAGACTATGAACGGCGCCTCCACAGTCCTCAACGCGCTGTCACACCTTTAGTAACGCGCTAAAACTGCATACTTCAATATACTCGTGATATTGAAATGATATTTCCCGCCGGAATCACTTGACGCCATTTTTCCCGCATTTATCGCTGTCACTTTGACAGTTGCCAGCTCCTCTACGAAATCAAAGACAATGTATTAGTGTTAAAATATTTCATTTTGACCTTTTTAGGGCTTTGCCCTTTAAAAGTTAGGCGATTGTATTTGATAGATTTTTTTTACAGTGTGTGTAAAGTATTGTCTATGAGCGTTTGAGATGTAAACTGATCAATTTGTAAACTGTTGTGCTGTCCAAAGTCTGTGGTAAACGAATAAATTATAAAAACTTACAAGTTATTGTGTCGTCTGGACTAAAAGTAAAACATATTTTTATATAAAACTTTAAAAAAATAAATATATTTGTGCCTCGTTCTTAACATTGTGTAAAGAGACTTAGAGAGTTTAGCTAAATTAAATAACTTTTTATTAGTGTAGACTAGAAATAGTGTAAACAAACATTTCTTCGATAGTAAATTCTTAACCGCGTTATTCGTAAGAAGGGTAGTTTAAAAAATAACAATTTATAAATAATTTAAATACGTAAAATCAACCATAATTACGTGCGCTAAGAGAGTGTTATTTCGCTATCAAGACTCTATATGATAACATATTACGAGGCGCTCGTCATCCTAGCATGTTTGACAACGGGGCTGATCGCTCTCGGACATGAGGTGTGGCTGTCGGCGCTGTTTCGAGCCGCGGCCGCGCAGCGTCGCGCCGCAAACGAACCGCGCGCACCCGCGCCCATCTCAGCCCCGTCTCCCTATTGTGGGAGGACGCACGTATGGCGTGCACACATACCAGGTTGTATTCCTAATTTGAAAAATTGTAGACGTTCGTTAAATGAAGTAATAATTATAAAATATATTTAAGGTTCTTTCGGTGCTTTTTTTCTAAATTACTAAGACTGCTACTATTAAATTCAGTGTTGCCACATACACCACTGTTCCGTTGGCACCGATTTTTCACACCGTCTTTCTCAATTTTGTTGTTGTTACTTTATTACACATTTTTTTTATAGTGTGTAAAGGCACTGATTATGATTGACCATCGTGAAAAAATGAAAATTAAAAATAATTTAAAAAGCTATGCTTTACCTTAGAGATTTTATTTATATGACCTGGTAAAAATCAAGTTTGGCTTACCTCTACTGTCAATGTCATCTATGCGCCAAAAGATCCTTGTCTATATAGTCTATGATTTAGTTTATCTTATTACTTGTGCTATGAAAAGAGTAAGTTATAGAAACAATAATGTTTTTTTATCGATATCTACACAAGAGCACTCACCGACACCGCGACAAGTCGCTAGCAGTCGCATGTCGCGACGAATCGTCATCAACGGTCGCGAACATAGCCGCTTCGCGGTCGAACTCGCTGCGGTGACCCTCGCGCGGATGGTATGCTGAATCACACATGCGAAATTCCCCTTTACTTGAAACCTACTTAACTGTGAATGCTTTCCAAGATTGACAGGAACCTTAAAGACCAATTCTTGTAGTATTCATCATATATGTATTAACTTATTTAAAAAAAATACGACTTCATGGATAAGGATGTTAATTCGTATGTATACTTATATCCTCACGGTTCCAGCTGAACCGGAGTAAGCAGAGACTATTAAGCATCCCTCTCCACGGTTCAGCTCGCACCCCTTCACACGTTCGCCGGTTACTGGTTCTTTTAAAGAGTGTGAGTCTCTTCATGTGTTACTGATGTTGTGATATGGTCAGTGTATGATATGGTCTCCCACAGGCCGCAGGGCTCTTCGCTCATCCTTTCAACATACTCAAACCATCGCAGCATCCCTTTCTCAATTCTTGTCACTTCATCTTTCAACCCTCACCGTTTTTTAACCTCAAAATTCCTTATAGTACGGGAGCCTTAGAAGGGAGATCGGAAATTACTCGAGCGTGGCAGATTAACTTAAGGAGGAATACCTTAAATCCAGTTGAGTGCCTCCACCATACATAAGCCTTAAATATATGACCTAGCGTCTAGTACAGCCCGTCAGATTAGGTAAAAACAATCAATGTCCAGAAACACTCGAGCGTGTAAGAACTTGTTATGGTTATGGTAAGTTGAGTCAATTACATACACATGAGTGTGTATTTAAAAAAAACTGACGGTTTAAGCGTGACCTAAAAAGCAGTGCGAGAGTCACAAAGTCCACAAAAACAAAAACACGAACTTGATATACTTTTTTTTTTTGAAGCAAACAATGCGAGAAATCGTCTTTAAATGTCTAAATAATTTTTCGTGCTTTTATTTGTCACACTATAATAAATCGAAAATGAAAAGATTTCTAACCCTCAGATTTAAAATACCCTGCAAAATTATCGTCAGATTTTTGGCTAGTATGACAGGAACATTAAGCTGAACCGTCTGTATAAAATCTAGCATGCTCGGGTATTTCGAAGCGGCAATTTTTTGCATTTTTGAAAATTCGCCAGGAGCTTGTCACTCAAAAATTACCTCTAAATGGGAATTTTTGGCGTCCAAATAACATATTCATAAATTACCTGATGCACCCGAATAATTTTTTTTTTCGATTTCTTCCTCTTACATTTTTGAAAACCTGTGGAAGCTTTCCCCACCTCTGAGAATGGAAACATTATATAACTTTCTATTACCTAATCTTTTAAATGCAATAGGTCCCCATGACGCTCGAATAAATCCCCATTTATCATTTATTTATCCCCATATTTTATTAGTTTATCTCACATGACATTTGTGACTTGAGTTGCAGGTGCCTGGGCAGCGGTAGTTGCTTACCATCAGGTGACCCGTCTGCTCGTTTGCCCCCTTATACCATAAAAAAGACATAACACATACTTCTGCCATATCCAAGTCGCTTACTTCAGAGTTGCCAACACTTCTCCATAAACCACCATTCGTGCATTTATTGACACGTTCTGACTTCTTGTGATGGAATGGACAGAACCTTCCACTGAGTTTTCTTTTTCTACTCTTCTTTCAAAATCGTTTTCATCCTTTCCATCACTTGTAAATATACTTTCCAGATAAATAAACCCATTCACTTGCTCCAGTCTTTTAATTTCTAATCTTTACCTCACAATCAGTCATTTCTTCAATCCTTTTCGAACACCATAACCTTTACTTTTGGAATCATTCATGAGTCATGTCCTGCAACTCTTTAGCTCGCAGTCGTTTCCAAACAGTTCAAAAGAAGGTAAATCATAGCTTTTGCAGCGAATTCGCTCACTTTTATTTAGAACTGTCTGACCCCTGGAACTTGTCTGCGTTTCTCAAAAAAACTTGTTTTTGCAAGATTTTTCTTTGATGTTCGGCTCCTATTGGCCGTAGCGTGATGTTACGTAGGCTTCCTCGATAAATGAGTTATCCAACACTAACTAAATTTTTCAATTCGAACCAGTACGAACGAAATTTTTCGAACGAGTCCCTTTTTTTTTTTTTTTTCCCGTGCGGAAATCTCCTCGGATACCACCTGTCGGTGGCATGTCGGACTCGAACCGACTAAAACCGCACGCCGTCGCCGGGTACTAATAGCCGGGGAACCAGGTATACCCTAGAAAGGAAGTCCCTGGTGCTACCAGTAGTCCCTGAGCTTAACGCTTTCAACCAAACAATTTCTTCAGCTTTATAATTTTATCTGGGTATTTCTATGTATAATACGTATGTATTTCTTATGATATAAATGTATTTATATCAGTTGTCTAGTACCCATAGTACAAGCTCTGATTAGTTTGGGACTAGATGGCGTTGTGTAAAAGTGGTAGAACATTATTATTAGCATTATTATTATTATAATATTAGTCCAGATTTGTCTATTACTTGAATTGGTCTTTAATTTATAGTTTGCCGAACTGATCGTATAATACCCAAAGTTTGTAGTTAAATTATCCTAAATAGGCTGGTATTAGACGGACTGCACGGACTGAATTTGTAAAGCGGTGTCTTAGTGGGTTAGATTTCCGGACCAGCCAAATTTTATAGGGTTTCTTTTTCAGAAAGGAAAAATAGCCTAAGTTATTCTTTATACAGACAGCTACCTGGTAGTAAAATATTATCAAAATCGGTCAAGCCGTTTTAAAGACTGCAAATAACTGTGAGCATGAAAAAAGTCCTGTAATTTTGACATTACAAATAGAAATTTTGAAATACATGAGGCGGTTGACGGAAATGGGCTTTGCGTCCCATTTACGTAAGTGGAACTAAAATGGCAAAATTTAGAAGTTTAATAGGGCTCTGTGAGCCCTATTAAACTTCGGGGATAAAAAAAAACGCTGGTGTATGAATTAATCCCGTTCATGAATAATAATTAACATATCTGCTCATCAACAGCCTGCAATAGTCCACTGGCGGACATAGACCTCTCCTCAGAAAGGAGGTTTTGGCCTACCGGTATGGTTACGCTGGCCAGACGGGATGGTATGCGGTTAAAATATTTATTTATTTATTCATGCACATTTGGTGCATTGGCGGACTTAATGCCTCAGGCATTCTCTACCAGTCAACCATTGGGTGATGCAAAGAAAACAGGGAAACAGAAAACAAGAAAATATCTGATATACAATGTGTTTTTTTTGGAGAATCTTTAAGCCTCATATTCTACACTTTATTTCTCGACGATTTGCAAAATATGAACAAAAAATATTCAGTGGTTTAGAAACAGGATATTTTTTTGGTTTCCTAATTTGCAACATCATAATGCAAATGCATTCATACAACATTGACCTCCGGCGGCGATCAGCTGTATACGCGGCACGGTAATCAAACGCTGCCGCTTTTACTACACTCGAATCGGACGAAATATTTTAATTATTGTGTCATCAGGATGAAGGACACGCGTTTTTAATTAGTAAGTCCAGTCAGTCGGCCCTGTTCTGTGTCCTTGTAGATGCGCTCACGACAAATTATTGTAATAATAATATTGTTGTTGTTCGTGAGATACTTGTTTAGAAAAGTTTTGTTGTGTTAATAATTGTTTAGTTTTATTGCGTTCTTCATAATACACGGCAATGGTGTGAACAATTAATGTTATCGTGTGAGCAAGACTCCGTGTTGTAACGAGTCCCGCTAATTTTATTTTGAAAAGTGAGAACAAGTATGTGTACACACACAAACAGTGTTTAGTGTGTGTGAAACTGAGTGCATTATCAGTCTTTTAATTTTATTGGGTTATCGGTATCGACGTCCATAATGCCGCAAGTGACCTTCACAGCCGCGGAATATCCTCACATGATGTTAATTTACCGGGAACTCTATCAAAACGCATCTTTACCTTTACGGACAAACCGAGGTTTAATCAATTGTGTATGTACTACACAGACTACCGATTTTTTGTAAGGGCGGTACAAAAATTACGAGTTAACCAAAGTACATACTTTTTCAAGGAGTGACACGTACTGCCGGGTCCGAAGCTAGTCGAGCATGCCCGAAATAAATCGCATTTTTAATAAATTGATTTTAAAAAGCAACTGAAGTAAGTGATTAAGTAGTAGGTAATAAGAATGTAAAGTTCGCCGGCTCGTCGCGGCGGCGGCGTCGCTTTCTTTGATGTCGCCGACATTGCGACGGCATAAAACGACAGTCTACAGTTCACCGACTCATGTTAACAATGTAGTATAATTCGGCAATTATTTTATTGCATTTATTTTGTTTTCTTAATTTGCATTTCTTTTGTTTTCGTACAATTTTTTCTAAAATTTTGATTCGTGCTATATGTTAAGACACTTTTAATATTAGGAATATATCCTGTGTCGCGCGTAATTTGTTTCAATTGTGTATAAAATTTCGTATCCATATATGTGTATATGGAATAATTTTATCCGTGATGATAAAAAGAATGATGGATGTATCCACTTGTTAACGTTTTTATCTGTATCCATCATTGATACATAAAATGTGGATATCTTAAACTTTCAGAAACTGTTTTTCTCGCGTAAAAGTTTTTGTTTTGTTATCCCTACTATCTGATCCGTGTGGTGACGGTTTAAGAATACGTGGGCATTGAGTTAAAACAACACTAGAGAAGCAAACCTCATTATCACACGTCGAAAAAAGTGTAACCACTTTTGAACTTTGACGACGTAGCTTTGATACCACTAAACATTTGAAAGTAAACATATTTATGTCTCATTTACACGCGAGACAAGAACAATAGCATTGCTCGGATTAGACAAAGACAAAGATATAACTTTACGAATGTGGGACAGTGTTGACTACCGTATGAAATTTTACCCATAACAACTAAGAAACAATTTTTTTTTTAAACAATTTTGTAATAAAATAAATTAATTTAAATATTCTAAATAATATATTTCGAATTGAATAGAATAGGTATAAATAATAAAATAACTGGAAATATTTGGTTAAAAGGGTTTATATTCAGTGTAAAATCAAACTGCGCTGTGAAGCATCAGTTTTGTATACA